TTTATTTTTTGGAACTTAAATAAGTATTGTACAATAATATTTTTTTAAATGAAGGAAGGAAAATGCTGCTTAGTATACTATATACAAGTCATTTCTGTATATATAAAGTATACAAGCATTTGTTTTCATAGCATAATAACCTTCTTGGTTTTTATTTATGTAAGTCCTAATTATGAGAACTGAATTTTAAAACTGTATTCAACATCACAGCATTAGATTACTTGCTGATGGCAGCTCAGCATGATGGCACCAAAAAATAAGGAAGCCAAGTTTTTCCTTCTTGCTAGGTAATTACTCATGTGACCTGAAAAGGTCTCTTATACATGCCTACCTTCATCTTTATTCTAAGGATAATACCTGCCCAGTAGGATAAGCCTGAACCACAAGGTCTGTTTGAACTGCAAGGTCAGTTCAATCTACCACCTGCTCCTCAGAAGCCCTATACAGGGTCATTATGAGTCAGAACAGACTCAATGGCACTTAACCGAAACAACAAATATTATTCTAACTAAAGTAAGCCTGTTGCCCTCTTTATAAGCCTCTTGAGAGCTGCTTTGACCTCTTTGTTCCTCAGACTATAGATCAGAGGGTTTAACATGGGGATGATGATGATATAGACCACTGACAGCACCTTGTCCTGCTTTAGGAAGTGTCTAGACTTAGGATGCAAGTACACAGAGAAGGCTGTGCCATAGTAGAGTGTCACCGCTGTCAGGTGGGAGGCACAGGTATTGAAGGCCTTGGCAGAACCTTTGCCTGAGGATATTTTCAGTATGGAGGCTGCAATAAAGCAATATGACAAGAGGATAATAAGCAAAGAACCAAACGCAATAAAAATAGCCACCAATAGAAGAATCAATTGACGTATGAAGGAATTGGAGCAAGACGCGGAAACAATCTGAGGCAAGTCACAGAAGAAATGTTGAATGAGGTTTGGCCAGCAGTAGTAAAGATGAATGCAAGAGACTGTTTGGTATAAACTAGTAATGAAACCACCCAGGTAGGCCCCAGCAACCATCTTTCCACAGAGACCAGGAGCCATGATGGCTGAGTACTGCAGAGGTCTACCAATGGCAACGTATCGGTCATAGGCCATCGCAGCCAACAGGCAGCACTCAGTCATAGCCATCCAGTCTGCAACAAGATACTGAGTGACACAGGCAACGAAGGAAATCGTTTTGTCAATTTTAAGGAGGTCTGAAAGCATTCTGGGACTGATGCATGAAGAATAACAGATATCAATAAATGACAGGAAACTGAGAAAAAAGTACATGGGTGTGTGCAAGTGAGAGTCTATCTTAATTAGGAGGATGAGAGCCAGGTTCCAGAAAAGAGTCACAAGGTAGAACCCTAGGAATATTGGAAATAGGATGAGCTGTAACTCTTTTTCATCTGAGAGACCCAGGAGAACAAACATGGCCACAGAGGAGTGGTTTCCATTCCATTCCGTGGACCTGCGTCCTGCCATCTACAAAAGAAAAGATGAGAGAAGGAAATGGCTTTAGTCCCAAATAAAAGAAATACAATTCATCACTTTTCTTCAGTCATGCATTTAATTTTACAATGTTGAATTCTTGACATTGAGTTAATACAATTACACTTCAAATACTATTATCAATCTTAACTGAGAAATCCTCTTGTAGATACAAGCATATATTATCACTCTTTCCTTGGTGACAAATGGTTTTTAATGGGCATCATAAGTCTATTTTCTACTAAAATGACTTCATTTATTTTCCCACGAATATTCTGCAAATATCCGAGACTTTGGAGATAGAAGAAATTAGTAAAATAGTTTCATTTCTTCATATGGTGAAAAGGAAAGATTCTACATAAACATTGCTTTGCTGTTAACTTGATGATTGGGGAAGGTGGTATTTAAAAGCTTTGAGAAATAACACGTGCTCCTTGAAAGCCAGTATGGCCAGACTTCATCTCTCATACTTTGGACATATTGTCAGGAGGACCAGTCTTTGGAGAAGGATATCATGTTTTGTAAGGTGGAGGGTCAGAAAAAAAGAGAAAGACCCCCAGTGAGATGGATTGGCAAAGTAGCAGCATTAATGGGCTCAAGTGTGGCAACAATTGTGAGGTCGGCCCAAGACTGGGCAGTGTTTCATTCTGTTGTGCATAGGTTCACTATGAGTCAATACCAGCTCAATGGTACCTCATAACAACAATCCATAGTAATGAATTTTGGGGAGCCTTGGTGTGGGGCTGTGCAATAAACATTGAACTGCTAACCACAAGGCTGACAATCCAAACCCACTTTGGAAACCCTATACAAGGTTGCTATGAGTCAGACTCAAACAGACAGCACTTAACAACAAGGGATTCTTGACAATTCTGTAACAGACTTTTTGCTTTTATGATACCTGAAGAGATGTAACAATCATGTTGCAAGATGGTGGAAAGAGTCACTCAGAAGAAGTAGCAGCTTGAAAATGGATGAGACATGACCAAATTTGTGCCTCTAGGAAGCCTCTTGAGAAATGAAGTAACACAAGGTTCAGAGAGCTATGAAACTCCCTTTCTTGCTGGTACAGATTTTCCTTTCCTCAGGTAAAAAATAATTTCTTAGGCATCTTCCTCTTTTACACTGACCCTCTACTTTACCAAACATGTTCTCTAGAGTTCACCAAGAAAAAAATTTCCCTTAGTAGAATCCAAATTAGAAGAAAAATTATGAAATATTTGAAATGTTTGAAACAGCTACAAATGTAGTATGTGTGTTGTATGTAGCATATCAAATGAACATCTAGGAGATTTTCACAGAGAAAATTATGGTATTGATGAAATGCAATGTTTCTATGAAGCACAAATATTTGCCAATATTAGTTACTCAAAGCACTTTCCTCCTCCCATTCATTTTCCAATCACATGGTTCCAAAAATGAAGAAAAGAGATAATCCCCATGGAAGCACAGGTCATACATGAGAAAATAAAGTCAAAGGTTCATTTCCCTAAATCAAACAGATGGTCTTTCTGGTATTCTGTTTTTAGGAAGATTCTGAGGAAATTAATTGATTAATTATAAGAGAAAATCAAGATCTCTGATATTAACATGTAAAGGGAAAGACAGTATATTTACCATTCAGGCTGAGGAGCTGTCCTTCCACAAAGAAACTAAATGAAGGTAAAAGCTTGTGAAAAGAGAACAAAATGTCATATTCATCATCATTATTAACATTTCTCATTTTGTTCTTAACTCTCACTATTTATGGAATTATAAATGGATGTGTGATGCATCTTCACATTAAATTTTCCACATCTCTGAAAGATTCATTTCGTTGATCTTCTATACTATTTTCTGTTATGTTTTTAGAGATATGTTCTCAAGTTCCTTCATTCTCTCTTGTTGTTATTTTTATTCTGATAGTGTAGTGGTTATGAATCAGTCTACAAACCTCAAGGTCAGCAGTTCAAAACTACCAGCTGTTCCGTGGGAGAAAGATGAGGCTTTCTAGTCCCATAAAGATTTATAGCCTCCAAAACCCTATACAGGGTCGCTATGAGTCAGAACCGACTTCACGGCACATAATAACAACAACAACATGAAGTCAGGTCCAACTCATAGCAACTCTATGTACAGCAGAACAAAACACAGCTTGCCTGGTCCTGTACTATCCTTACAATTCTTCTGACGTTTTAGCCCATTCTTGCAGCCACTGCGCCAATCCATTCCATTGAGGGTTTATTCTTTTGTGCTGACACTCTACTCTACCAAGCATGAGATTTTACTCTAGGGACTAGTCTTTCCTGATTACATGTCTAATGTATGTGAGACAGTCTCAACACCCTCACGTATCAGGAGCATTTTGGTTGTACTCCCTCCGACACAGATTTTCTTGTTGTTGTTAAGTTCCGTCGAGTCAGTTCTGACTCATAGTGACCCTGTACAGGGTTTCCAAGGAACAGCTGTTGAATTTGAACCTCCAACCTTGCAGTTCAAACTGACCTTGCAGTCCAGCACATTAGCCCGTGGTATGTTTAACATTCTTCATCAATACCATATTTCAAGTGCATCAATTTTTCTTCAGTCCTTACTTGTTGTTCTGCTTCCATATACATATGAAATGATTGAAGATACTCTGGCTTGGGTCAGGCATAACTTATTCCTCAAAGTGATACCCAACATCCGTAATAATATTCCTTGTTCCACATCCTCTCTGAATCCATCCAGCTTGAATTTTTAGCAGCTCTGTTGCAATTCCAATGCTCTGTTGCAATTGTGTTTTGTTTTTTTAATTGTCTTTAACAAACTTTACTTGTATGTAACATTAATGACACTGTTTGATAATTTCCACTCCCCGTTGGATCACCTTTGTTTGGAATGGGCACAAATATGGATCTCTTCCTTTTGGCTGTCCATATAATAATCTTCCAAATTTCTTGACATAGACTAGTAAGTGCTTCCAGAGTTCCATCAGTTTGTTGAAACATTTCAACTGGCATTCTGTTAAATCCTGGAAGCTTGTTTTCCACTCAAGAAGATAAAGTCAAATGTGCAAAGACCTGGAGTTTGACAACCAGAAGAGAGGAATATACTCACCATGTCTCAAGCTGCAAGAACAAAGAAAAAAGTCACACCTTAACTTGCAACATTGGAGAATTCCATGGGTAAAATATTGAATAATGCAGGAAACATCGAAAGAATATGTAAAGTATACACAGTTAGTATATCAAAAGAATTGATATATGTTCAACCATTTCAAAGGTAGCTTATGATCAAGGCGCACTGAAGGCATTGATGATAAACAAGGCTCCAAGCATTGACAGAAAACAAATTGAAATCTTTCACAAAACTGATGCAGTACTGGACACACTCATTCATCTATGCCAAAAATTTGGAAGACATCTATTTGATCAACCAATTGAAAAGGGCCCATATTTATCTCCATTACAAAGAAAAATGATCCAACTGAATGAATAAATCATTGAGCAATGGTAGTAACATAACATGCCAACAATTTTGCTGAAGATAATGCAAAAACACTTGCAGCAGTACATAGACAGGGAACTTCCATAAATTCAAACTGAATTCAGAAGAGTACATAGAACTAGGGGTATTGTTACTGACATTATATGGAACTTGGCTGAAAGCAGAGACTACCAGAAAAATGTATACCTGTGTTTTATTGACTGTGTGCATTTTAACAAACTATGGATAACATTGTGAAGAATGGGTATTCCAGAACACTTCATTGTACTCGTGAGGAACCTGTACATATACCAATAAGCAGTCCTAAGAACAGAACAAACCAATATGAATGGTTTAAAATCAAGAAAGGTGTGCACCAGGGTGTATTCAATCTATGTGCAGAGCAAATAATCTGACAAAGGGGATTCTATAACGAAGAACATGGCATTAGAATTGGAGGAAGACTTATTGCTTGCTGAAAATTAAGAGAACTTGAATACTTCGTGATGAGGATCATAGACTTAAGCCATCAGCAGGGATTGTACCTCAATGTAAAGAAAACAAAAATCCTGACAACTGTACCAGTAAATAACATCATTATAAACAGAAAAAATTGAAGTTGTTGCAGACTTCATTTTGGATTCACAATCAACATTCATGGAGGCAGCAATCAAGAAATCAAAAGACATACCACATTAGACAAATTGGCTTCAAAATAACTCTTTAAAGTGTTAAAAAGCAAAGATATCATTTTGAGGACTAAGGTGCACCTGACCCAAGCCATGTTATTTTCAATTACCCCATATGCATGTGAAAGTTGACAATGAATAAGGAAGACCTTGGAAGAATTGATGAATGTTGTAGAAGAATATTAAAAGTACCATGGCCAGCCTGATGAACAAACAAATCTGTCTCAGAAGTTCAGCAGGAATGTACCTTGAATATAGGGTGGTGAGACTTCGTCTCTCATTCTTTGGATAATGTTATTAGTATGAACCAGTCTCTGGAGAAGGACATCATGCTTGGTAAAGTGGAGGGTCAGAAAAAAAGAAGATTTTCAATGAGATCATTTGACACAGAGGCAACAACATTGAGTTCAAACATAACAGTTGTGAGGATGGTGCAGGACCAGACAGTACTTCATTTTGTTGTGTATAGGGCCACTATGTCTTTGAACCAATTGGATGCCACTTAACAACAACAACACAATCTGAAATTTGATGTAGTAGCTCTCACTATCAAAGTGAATATACTACTACAACCTCTACTTAGAGTCCTGTGTGGCACTGTAGGATAAGCACTGGACTGCAAGGTCAGCAGTTCAAACTCACCAGCTGCTCCTTGGAAACCCTATATAGGTTCACCCTGAAGTCACTTCAGTTCATCATGCTGAATTAATTACCTTTACCAGCATTGTAAAATTGCCTCTGGAAAATCCATTACTATTTTTACAGATTCCTGATATGTCTTTGGAATTGTTCATGATTTCTGTATGTTACTGAACCTCACCTAGAGATGATACAAACAATAAAGCCTTTAGTGACAGA